CCCCCCCCCCCTCCCCCTGCCTTCAGCATTTTGTCAATTTTGTCATTGCAGCTTTTGTTAATAACAACAACCTGAATTCTTTCTTATCCAACCTACACAAAACTACTTATAACTGAAAATTAAATTTTAAAACTGGCTGTCTGGAATATATAACCATCAGGGTTTGCCAATTCAGGCAATCAACCATCTTCTTGATGAAGGGAGTAAGTTTCAAAAGAAACTGTGTCAGTGGGGATATTACAAGATAATTTTGATTTATCAAATTAGTCACCGTAAAGAGTTTCAAGCATTAGCTCTTCCCCATTCACTCTGACAAAGGGCAAATGCTTAAAGTATCAGCTTTAGAAACTCTTTACAGTGGCCAATTTACATTATGTGATCAAATTAGTTGATAAAACCAAACATTCTTTTCCTTACATTGAATTTCACATCCTCCACACATTAATAACTTTTTCATTTTACTTTTCAGCTTATTTACCAAGATCAAATCACTTAAAACTCTGCAGCTCTTTGGTCTTCTGAACACAGAAGGTGTTGAACTACTGAAGGCTGACCTTCCAAACGTCAATGTGAACAAGTCATTTTTCTCAACTATTGCAAGACCAGTTGGGTCTGTGTACTTAGGAATGATATGGGGGGTCCAGTGCAAAGATTAAAAATTACTAATTATTTTAAATTAGGTTATTATATCTCCATGAGATATTCTTACACTTTTTAAGATTCTTTCTGGGCAATTTGATTTAAATTTCGAAAAGTTTCTCTCCTATAAATTTTTGTATTGTGGTTAATGATTGTAATTAATCCCTTTGGTTTCATGTACTCTTTTTAGAGAAATACGACTTTTTTAAGCCTGGAGGCTTCATTTTTTCTGCATGACATTATCTTCATTTCAATTCAAAATTTTAAATTTTTCTAAATATATTTTTTATATCCAGCATTTTCAGATGCAGTTGATCTCAGAGAGATGCAATTATTTTAAGTTAGAAAAATTGGTATAATATGTAAGTCAGACTTGACACAAATTTCTTAGTTTGGACAGTTTTTCAATCAAGAAGTTAATTGTTCAGTTTTTGAAACATACCAAATGTAATTATATTTTCTCTTACATCAGTATAGAGTATGTCTTCATTGGCAAAATTTAATATGTATTTTAATTAGTTCATCAATCAACTGTTCAGATCTTAGTGTATTTTACTTCAACACTCTAATTGTTAATTCTCCCTTCTAGCAGCTACTCCTTTCTAAGCAAATAAGTTGTGAGAATTTGGTATTAGATCAAGATAACTTCTATCTGATAAATTTAAGTATTCTCATTACCTGTTTGCTAGATGATGTATAGATTTTATAGGGAGAACTTGCTTGTTAATCACTTCTGGAAGTTAAAGGGTAACCAACAACAGTGATCCAATTCACAAGCATTTCCAGCTTAGCCCTTTTAATGGTGGCTATCCCAAGTTGTGATGCACACAGAATATGCCATATCAAAACATATGCAAATGCTATCCAACTGATAGCATTTCAATATATTAATTTCAGTGGCTCTTAATGTTCCATGCTTCCTAAAGTTAAAGTAATAAATACAATAAGTCATATTAGAAATACACAAGCTTATGGACTTCTGTTGCAGTGACTTTGCCCAACTATCAACCCACCTTTGATTGTTTGTTAGAACTGATAAATGTTCACGTTTAAAATAGTTTGATATCAGTTAACAATGGCTTGTTTCCATCTTGCCTATGTATTATTGAATTGGAAACACAATGACTTTTTATGAAACTACTTTTCAGCTGTACAATTTACCATCTTACTATATAAATACACTACTTACACTCATACCCTTGGGTAATACCCCTGAAATTTAAGCCCTAATTTCCCCTTTACTTCATGAGAAATCATGGACAAAATTAACATCTGACTGCCTTTCACACAACCAGGCTAAGGGCTAGAAGAAAAAATCTAAAATGCAACTTGTTTTCAAGAATTGGATTGAAATTAAAATTGCATGGATTTGTTCAGATTGGTTAATGAGCTACACAAGTTACTTTGCTAAGACAGAAATATATTTGCCCCAGACAACTGAATATGAATTTTTCAAGTTTGGCAAAATATTGGTTGAGATTTTTTAACTTTAAGTCCTTATGAAAAGACTGACATTTCAAATTTGTTGTTCAAAAATGACCAATGACAGCAAACACATGATAAAACCAAAATACCTACTTGATTATTAACAAGAACCTTGAAATTCAACACTGACCCCTATAACTTAAGCCAACTTTTTTTTCCTCCAAAGTTCAAGTCAATAGTAATTGAAAATTTATCATTCATTCTTGTTTCTTTGCTGGACCACAAGTGTAATTTGAATCAAGTCAGGAATCATCCGTTAAAAAAATGACCAAAACTGTTACAGCTAAGACCCTTAGCCCAGAATATATATTGATCTTGCTTTGAACAACATTGCCCAAAAGGACAATTCATCAAAACAAACAATTCCTTACAAAGGGATGAAGCTTAAGAAAAGGAAGACATTTGAGACTTTTTGATAATGCTTATTTTCTAAAAGGTGACTCTGGTAGAACTAGGAGGAAAATGTCACATTCATTTACAATTTTCAAGTTCACAAAGACAAGATTAAGTCTAAAATCTTCAATCACTATAAATCATCAAAAATGTTCTTTGGTGCTCGACTAGAGGAAGATATTCCATAACCTGAGGCACCACCATAACTGGATCCTGAACTGTTGATATCATAATCTGCAGCTGACAGCAACTCTACACGATCATTCTCAGGCTCGAACCGTGAATACCTTGCATAATTTCCATCTGATGCAGTTAAATTTGTGCTAGATGTGGCATGATCCTTGTTTGAGAGTCCTCTGCCTTCACGATCTGATTTACGAGTAAGTTTTCTTTTTGCTGACTCAGCTCTTTCTGACCAAGTTTCCTAGAAAAACACAGAGTAGGTTATTATTATTACCATAAGATCACTTGCTGTACCTATCAATTCTAACAGGTAATTAAACTCCGTGAGTTTGAACTTATGCAATTCACAGGATGAAATCACATGTTTCCGTATTTCTGAAACGTGGTGGAAACATGCAACTCCATGTTTCCGTTATGTTTAACATGCACAAAAAGTGGTCCGGTTCCGTTGTATACGCAGCAACGGAAACGCGAGAAAACCGGTAACAGAAACACAGGTTATCCGTCGTGTTTCCAGAACAGTTTAACATGTTTCTGCCACGTTTCCGTTTACGGATTCTTGCAATTTCGTCCTGTGATTCCTTCTACATAGAATTTCCAAACAAAAAGATACTAGTGAAAGAAAAGTTGGACAACTGTAACTAACCTTTCTACTGCCATCTTCTGTCAACATTTCTCTCTTTCTTCTCTCTGCAAAGGACAGAAACATGCTGATTGTTTTGTACACAAACTTGACAGATGTCATGTGAACAGAATTAAATTCTAATATGCAAGTGAAGAGAAACACTGCAAGCTGAGTAAATTATGGAGCCTGAGGACACAACAAGATTCTCCAAAATTCTCCTTACAAATTGACCTATATTTCCTTGTACATCACAAGGAGAATTTGATATTTCATCAAAAGTCACTAAAGGCTTTATTCAACCTACCCCTGCAATCCTCGACATTTAAAGTCATAGACACTTGTTTGAAAAGGAAATCTGATAGTGACACAACCTTGCAACAGCTTCTTTGAAATGTTACAAAACTATCTCATCTTTGTAATTACACATGTAACTTAAGTATACCTCTTCGTGCTATATCCTTTCCTTCACTGACATACTCTGCTGACAGATCATCTTCAATGATAAAAGTTTGGAAACCAAGACAGTTTAAACATCTAGTGCCAAGGCTGAAGTATGTAGCCAGGCACACCAGTACAACACACATTGGGTAGTACATGTTCACTCCTTTGGAAATTAATGACAGTACATCCATGTGACCCATGAACTGTAAAACAAAAAGAAGGGTAAATCTGACTGTCTATCCAACAAGAGGTTAACCCTTAAACCCCTAAAAGTGATTATCATCTAATTTCTGCTTACAATGTCAATCCTGAATCAAACTTTAAGGTCACAAGAATAAAGGAGATTATCAACAGAGAATCTTTGGATTTTTAAACAAATTCTCCATGTCAGATCCTTAGAAATGACAAACAAGCACAAAACAATGTTCTCCATATTTACACCAATCATCTCAAATTTGCCAATGGAGGAAAGAGAGAAGGAAGGATCACATAAACAAGTGGAAAAGAAGAGCAATAAATCTTTTCCAGGACCCTTTCCCCTCACAATTGTTATCTACGTCTCTCAGTTACTTAAAGAGTTGGCTGTGATGATCCACCCTCATGAGGAGTCCTTACAATAAATCATGTTGCTGTAATCTTTTTTATTTCATTTAACATTTAAAAACTTTGAAGAATTAAGTTCAGGGTTGGTATTACCACCCACCTACCCACCCCCCACCCCTTCCTAACTCTTTCCCACTCCACCCCTACAGCTCAGGAAGGTGTTGCACATGACAGATGTATCATCCTTACTTTAGTAAAGGAAGTTTCTACTGGTTCTGCTTCCCCAGTCACATGGCCATCAAGATGAATAACAGCAAGAAAGTTAAGACATAAAGCATATGTTAGGCGACATAGAAGTCTGCAAAGAAAGACAAAAGCTAACATTTAAAGTTTTGTTTTAAATCCTGGTAAACACAAACTTTCTGATGTTACAGTGATGATGCTTTTAAGAGTCCACAATCAATGCTTGTCTAGTCAAGTGCTGTTTTGCATCTTAACTTAAAATGTCTTTATCTTTGATCTGATGTTCTAAAAATTGAATGCTCCCTGGCTTGAAATATATTTCAAACATCAGTCATGAATGCTCTAAATATATTCTTCACTTTCAAAGAGTTTCATTACCTTTTCACCTCCAAGTTTACAATTATATCAGTTCTACTCCCTGGATGCTATGCATTTCTTTACACTCATTCTGAGAATTTGGTACCAAATAAAACAATAACCATTGATTTTTTTCCCTTATTTTACAGACCGCCTCTCTGCTTTAAAATATACACTAATGTTGTAAGGAGAAATTCCTTTCCCATAACTCTCTGGGCTGACAAGGCTTAAAGAAACTGATCCCTGTTTTACTTACAATCCACTGAAGAGCAAGCTGTTTGGATCCGTCTGATGCTTGGGTGCAAAGTAGTAATAGTTGAAGAACCTCATTCTGAATACAGTGTAGTACACACAAACACACATGTATGAAATGATTATACATGATATAACCTGAAACAAAAACAAACTTGAGCTCAATTTTTGTTAATATTTGAAAAATACTTTAGGGTTAACCAGTTCAATACTATATAGCTTTCATGTTTGCTTGTGTATGTTGAACTTTATAGTGAACAGTAAACAGTCTAACAAGTAGAAGCAAATCAAAGGGTTCATGATTTTCTGAGTTCCACAGTAAATAAAGAAGAGGCAAAGAAATATTTTGTGTTGACATCTGCAAGTTTTTTTTTTCAAAATAAACTCACCTCTACATAGAAATAATAATATCCTTTACTAGCACTGCGTATCATCTGTGCAAATATCGACAACACTGGCTGAACATTGAAGAATGTCACCTCTGACCACACCAGAGTCACAGACAATAAAAACAGAAGAATTGCTGTGAAGCGCAGTAACCATGGAAACAGCCAGACACGCCAATACCACTCTAAAATGATGTGTGAAATAGAAAAAAGGTAAAACTTCCATGAAACGTACATTCAATTTTCTGGAAATCAGGTTTTTTTACAGATTTGAAAGGTAAAAATTTTCATTCAAAGGTAAAGAACTAGAAGAGTCACCATTGATCTTGTGCAATTTTAAGGGATTAGATCACATTTTCATACCCAGAACTGGTTTGATTCCAGTTGCAGGCCCTTTTAAAGATGATTTGTAATGTCTGGAAAGAAAAAAAATGATAAATTTAAAGATATCTTTTTAAATTCTGAAAGAATAAATTGACACAGTTGCAGCTGGAATAGACAAGGACGAAAGACTACACCCTTAGATAGAGCCTTAGAGAAAGTCTGACATGACTCAACACCATAATTTTTAACATTTTATGGGCATCTTTTTACATTTACACCCTTTAGATCCCTTTAAGTCAGCCCTTTTACTCCCAAGATCTAAATATCAACTCTCTGCACTGTCTGCTATACATTTCCTATAATTTTAGCTCTAAGAATTTCCTGTTAAATCAATATTTATTTTTCTTTCTTTTCATAACCTTGTCCTTCAGAATAAGCATTAACATTGTTATGAGAAATTCCAATTTGTTCACCCTTACAAGTGAAAGGATTCATAAGACCAGAACAACACAACTAGAAAACATTACTAAGAATGCTAGAGTTAGACAGAGCTTAAAACACACATCTCTAAAACTGGATTTCAGTAACACTAATACCCCAACTTTCAGTTTTTCCAGACTCATTCACTTAACCTTCTGCCCTCTAATGAAGTAAAGATCCTTCAAGTTTTTCATAAACTATGCCATACACACCTATCACTGCTACCAGCATTCCGTGATAAGTCTTCCAACTCAAACACCTTTTCAAGCTGCATGTTCCACTGACTAGGATAAGAAAACAAAACAAAGCCATTATCAAGCACTATATCTTCTTAACAAAACTTTAACTCTAATTTGATTGATACAAGAGCAGTGTATAATATCTACTATCTTCTCACCAATGTGTCCGTCTTGAAGTGTGAGTGACAATGATTACTCTCTTGTGAAGTTTCACCAAGCTTTTCTCAGTGTGTGTCTCTGTGATTTTACTTCCAGTCTCCCTAAGGTAATCCTCGTAATCAACATAGTCATCAGTCCCTCTATTGAAGCCTGACTCCTCTGGGAACTACACCAGGAATAATCAATTGACCCTAACATTAGTACATGTATGCAAGTTCTCAACACTACTCTCTATACTTTTCCTATGGTACTTACAAAGAGAATTTGTCTTATAATCAAAGGCTTCTTGAGTTTGCAATTCTTTTCTTTACTCTCATGACCCTAATGTTTGATTCAGGGTGATACCATTGGGAGAAATTAGATGCTTATCACTATTAGGACTTAAAGGGTCAACATATATAGAAATGAGTGAGAGATGTGATGGCCATATGATTAGCTCAATGGAATCTAGGTTGTAAGGTTCTGATTTCAGCCCTAGCAGGGTCACTGTGTTGTGTTCTTGGGCAATATAATTTATTCGCACAGTCCCTCTCTCTACTTGGGATTATAAATGGGTACAGGCAAACTGCCAGAGGGAAAACTGACAAAATGCTTAGGGGTGGGGGGAACTTGCAACAGACTAGCATCCCATCCAGTGAGAGTGGCAATTGTCTCACTTCACTTCTCACTTTATGCTACTTAACCCTTTAACTCCCAATATCTAATTGTTAATTCTCCCTTCTTGCTGCTACATATTTCCTTGTAAATCATTTACAAGAATTTGGTGTTAGATCAAGATAACGACTTCTACTTAGTCTTCTATATGATAATCTCTTCTGGGAGTCTAAGGGTTAAACTGGAATAAGCTTTAGCAAAGTGAGCCAGTAAGATTCAATTTACCTTTTTTATAATAACTTCAAGGTACTTTCTAAGAGGGTGCCTGTAACGTATGGCTTCTGATGCACGATGTACCTCCTGTAAAAAGATTAATCAAATCTCATTAACAACAAAGTCAAAAACACAACCAACAATTTTGGTTACTATCATTCTTGTATCTCAAAGAATATTTCCTCTTTCCTTTAAAGAAGATCAGTGGGTTCTTGAGAGAGCATAAAGGTCTCCATTGTTTGATCAAAATGAAAACACATCATGTGGAAAAAACATATTAACATTACACAAGAAAGAAATCACAAGCCCTCAGTGAAAAAAAAAAATCATAAAGAAGATTTGTCTGAATGACATAACAGGCTAAAACTTATCTACTGTAAGGACAGTACACATACTACTTTAGAACTCAAAATGATAAGACTGGCTGCAGTTCTGGCTACCTCTAAGACTTCTGAAAACTGTTCATCAGCTTCTTCTTTTTCAACACTCAGCTTTGAGATCTTGAAATATGCATGAGCCATCTGGAGCTCTAGCCTGGCAGTATTCCATGTGGTGCGTGGCACTTCAACCAATCCATAACCCATCAGAAATACCAGTAGAAGTAGCCCCCAAGTATTAGAAGCAGTGATACCAAGAATTTGGAGATTTGCTCTGGTTTGATAAAAAAAACAACATGCTCATACTTAAATAAATTTTGTAAATAGAATAAGAGAGATGGCAAGTTTTGAGCTCGGTAGATAAATAGAGAAAGATATTTTTCATCTTGTCACAAACATGGGACAAAGAAAAATTGTGAGTCCCATGAGGAACCAAACCTAAGACCTTCAGATGCATCGGAGTGTGGAATCCAAAGGTATGAGGTTTAATTCCTCATGGGGACTCAGAATTTTTTTCTTTGTCCCATGCTTGTGACAAGATGAAAAACATCTATCTCTCTACCAACCCAAACAGTCAGTCACCCAAATATCACATCAGAAAACAAGAATTTCTTTATAAAAAGGAAACAGCACTCACCCATCTAAATGAATATCAGGTTTCACGATGACATAAACAAGAAGGATACCAAAGATGATCAGATAGCTGCCATACCACAGTGCATTCTCATACAGTGCAGTTTTGATTTTTCCACGCACAGTGAAATCTCCAGCATAGGAGTATGACTGCATTATAGGCAGGATAAGCCTAAACAAAAGAGAAAAAAACTTTTAGAGTGAAAGTTTGTGTGCTGCATGTTCTAATTATCCACATTAACACATAACCCTTCGCACCCTAACATCAGTATGCACATTTTCTGTATTGTTCTCTTTACATTTCCTGAGGGGCTGACAAGGAGAATGTGTTTAACAATGAAGAGCTTCTCTAGTTGGTGATAATTTCCTTAATTCCGAAGAATGTTTGTACAACCAGCCATTTTTTATTTGGAGATAGAGGCAGTGGTGGGGGAGGGGGCAGGGAAAGGCAAAATATTTACTCCCAACTCCCACCCCTCTCCTTAATTTTGACCATCACTTACCCCCTTGGTACAAATTTATTTCTCTCCCCAGCACTCTACTGCCATTGAAATCAAAGATGGCCACCATAATTTTCATGAAAAGAATTCTGAGTACTAGCTTGCCAAAATTATGCCTGCTCTGCAGCTAAGGTGAATAAGGCATATTTGTATGATTTTCTTTGCATCTTGGATACATTTGGGTCAAATAAATTGTTAGAAAAATTCAATCATTGATTCTTATCACAGTTTCCATATGTGGGTAACAAAAGAGTCATTATCCTTTTGAAAATTATGTAATTAGAAGCAAAATTTAAAACAATTTCACAAAGAAATCAGTGAAAATAAACAGATCCAAACAAAAGGTGTTTTGGAGTACAGGTGCAAAGCTTTTAGATAAAAGCTTCAAAGCATACACACTTAAATTCTAAAACTTGCTCCCAGAAATTCATTATGAAAAATTATGAAAAAATATACTAATCTCTACCCCAAATTCAGCCATGTCACCGACTGCAACATATGAATCTGAAGTGTCAATCATCAAAAATTATTCATTCATGTGCGATTTTTATCATTGTTGTCCAGTCCTTAAACTCACCATGAAAGTATCTGGGAAGACCAGTATACAACCCGCCAAAGATCAGGAAGAACGTGCTCTGGTAGATAACTCCAGGGCTTCTCACAGTCACTTGACGGAGTCGTCTTGCTGGAGTTCTTAACGGAGCTATTTTTTGATGAGTTTGAGCCAAGATCTCTCTTCTGTTCATTGATGTTTAATCCAGCTTCAAACAAACATTTCCTATAAAATGTCTGAATCGTGCACAAAACGTTACATTCTACGTTTTGAATCCGATCTTCCTGCTCAGGTAGAACGTTTGTTTTTGATATTATAAACAAAGTAATTTGAAGTGAAATCCACTTAAAATAAAACCAACAGGGTCTGACGTTTCATAACAGGGTTTACGGGTCCTCGTTTCGAGAATATATCACAAACATAGTCCTTCTTTTCTGGGAAAATACTTAGACTTACCCCTGATACATCTAAAGGAAGGATGAAGACGATGAGAAACGAGAAATACCAAGAAATAAAAACTGCTGTTGTGACAAGCCAATGTTGCTTTCGCCAGTTTCCATACTGGTGAAGAAGACATAGGGTAAGAAGGAAGACAAAGATCATTTCCACCGTAAACGGTGCAGCACTCATCTTGAAATAGCTTGGTTCCCACACGAACTGAGTTTTTGTCCTTTAGTAATGAGTCTGCTTAGAAAAGGTGGTTAAAAGTTTGATGATATGGCAGAAGTTCCTCAGCTGACCGATCATAGCTGTGTTTTCAGGAAGCCTGGAAACTAGCAACTTTTCGCAAAGGCTTGATAGAGCCTGGGTACGAATAAAAGGACGTAGAGCTGATCACTCAAAAACCGTTCCTTTCCTATGGAGACGTACTCAAACTTGTTCTCCGTTAATTTCAAGAATGATTATCATTTCGGCTTCTTGTCGGTGTCGCTAAGATGTTGTTGAAATATTAAATTAACGTTGCATAGAATCCAATGGTATCGACCCTAACATATTTCCCATACTTCTAAAGACGAAGAAAGAAAGAAAGAAAGAAAGAAAGAAAAAAAGAAAAAAAGTGAGATATACCACATGGTGTACCAAGTGTCCGTTTTTTAACTTGCAGTTTACAAAGCTATATTATTCTTTCATATTCCGGCTTTATTTTCTCTACGCCGTGCAGACCTATGTAGGTTTTCTACTGCATGACACATTCAACTCTCTGACTGTCTAACAAATCGCGTATTTTACGAACTACACTTTTCAATATAGAATGTCATGAAGGTTCTGAGATGTAAGACTGAATTTAGAAGACACAGGAGCCTGGCGATTAAATGAGCAAAAGCACACAACGTGTTACAGTATAAGACGCCAACAAAACCATATTAATTAATTCATATATTGTTTAAACAGCTGATTAACTGATGTAAACCTATCTTATGCCACGTAAAATTAGGTTTTGTACCCTACAACTCATTAAAAAAAATCTTTTATCTGAGTCGAAGCTTTGATTCCTCTTTAATCAAGAGCTCGAACGTTAGATCGCAGTTTACACTGACCAGATCAAAAGAATCATAGATTTCTCTTCAAGTTGGGAAGGTTCGAGAAAAGTTTTCAAGCGGACGGATTGATTTTTCCGACGCAAAATTGTAATTCGGAAAAAAAGTTTTTAGAGACGACAAATATTTTTGTTGAATACACCTGTTATGAGTGAACTTCCGAAAAAGATGAGTCTCCAAACATTTTCAATTTTCATAGTATTTTTCCTCGTAAAACTCGAGTTTTCCTTGTCGACGAAACATGGTATAGTAGAAATCACTGCGAGTAATTATCAACGTGTAGTGATTGACGGAGACAAAGATGCCTGGATTGTCGCTGTGAAAGGTGCTGGGAAAGTTTCAATGGACGAATGGAGGAAAACTGAGCTTGATATGCGTGGCTTGTCTGTGCGAGTCGGAATAATTGATCCAGACACTGATGGTGCATTTTTGAAGAGGAAGGTAAACTGTTCGTTATTTCGTGGTCAAAGTTTATCAGTTATTTTGCGATTAACTCTGTCACTCCCAGGATCTCATTGGTAATTCTCTTTACTGTCTTCCATACAATTCTTATAATGATAGTTCTAAGAATTTGTCATTTGAGCAACTATCAAACCCTTAATTGGTCTGCTTCCTTATTCTCAAAACCTACGTGGTTGATATTTGAACTGATATTGTAAGGAGAAATTCTGCCTTGGTCACTCAGAAGAATTAAAGCGTTAAGATAAAGATGTATCCCCATGGATAATACACCTCGTGTGCTATGAAGGAAATCAACGTGTCATACTGTTAATGGTAATCATACTGATTACACATCATGGTCACAATAACGTCTGTTTTGTACCTTAGGGTTTCCTCCAGAGAGACAAAAAATATTCAGTGGCTCGTGTTTTTCCTTACGGTGGTTACAAAATAAAATCAGCGGGAAAAAAAGATGTGAAATCTCGATTAGAAGCCGAAACTGAGGTGCTAGAAAGTCTTCCAGATGAAACAACCAAAGTTTCAACAATGGAAGAACTACAGCACTGTGTGAGAAGAGGATACGCAGCCAAACCCCTCAAAATGCCAGTTTTGCTACTAACAGGTAACATATTTTTCAATAGGGGAGGGAGGGGGTGGTGTCCAATCACTTTTTCTTGACAAAGGGGGATAGGGGTGGTATGTTACCTTTGTACCCAACACCTCCCTAGCTAATAAAGCCACTGGTTACCATAACATTGAAATGAGTGTGGGCCTTACGCATGTACTGCCCTCGCGAGTGCTACGGTTAACTTACATGTAAGATAGTGTGTTTGGTCTAATAAAACAGTAGGGTTTACGTTCACGGGCATAAACATGTTTTGGGTCAACTCGGAGTCATTTTACCCCGAGCCGGTAGATGATGACTCTGAGGAGGACTCAAAACAAATTTATTCCCAAGAACATAAACTGTACTACTATTTATAGACTTTATATCACCTAGGAAGGCATTGCGAAATAAGAAACTGAGGAAAAAAGACGACAGAACAGTCTGAACAGCCACGCGAGTGCGCAAGCGGGCTAAAATACATTTAGCCGCAATACCCGACAAAGTGATGGTGGAGAAAGATGTTTTTTCCTCTTGTCACGAGCGTGGGACAAAGAAAAAATTCTGAGTCCTCATGAGGAATCGAGCCTCAGACCTTCGGTTTTTGCGCTCCAATGCTCTATCATTGAGCCACAGAGACTCCACGGTGAGCGAGGTCTATTATGAAGTTCATACAGTGACAATAATTGGGTAAGGTTCATGTGTATGGAGCTTGACTGTCTTTGTGCCACGCTCCCAACACAGGTGTACAAAGATAACAGTGAAAAGTCATAAAATAAACCCTCTACACTTTAAGATCGGTACTCATATTCTCCATACTGTTCTCTGTATATTTATTAAGGTGCTGACAAGGAGAATTTGTCTAACCATCAATAGTTTCTTTAGCCGGGTGATCATTTCCTTTATTCTCGTGACATTAATGTGTGATTTAGTGGTGATATTGTAAGGAGAAATTAGATGCTGGTCACTCTTAGGGGTTAAAGGGTTAATAAATATTTTGATCCACTCTCACCTTTTTTTCTTTTTCAGACAAAAGTATCACATCGCCTGTTTTTCGTGCTATTGCCCTCAAATATTCCAAATATTTCAACTTTGTTGTCCTTCACAAGCCGAGTCAAGAGGTGTTGCACAATTTCCAACTAAGACAGACTCCAGCAATCCTGGTCATGATTGCAACACAAAGTGAAGACAAGCAAATCATTAGATTTAGCTCAGTGATTTACGACCCCAAGGAATATGGTGGAATATCTTACCTTAATTTGACAAGATTTTTCTTCTCTGTCCATGAGAAGCATTGGCTAGACCACCCAGACGCGAAGAAATACAAAGGAAAAGTTGGCTTGAGAGAGTTCTTCATTGAAGACGTGAAGAACACACTGGGGGGAGAGTTTGAGAGTGACAGACCAGAAGATGAGAGTAAAGTGGCCAAAGAAATTACGTTCGAGAATCAAAACAGAATGTGTGCAGATTCTAATAGGGGCTTATGTCTCATCTACTTTGTGGATGGCAAGGACAAGAAAGGGGTCAGAAAGGCTTTGAAGTTTTTTAAAGATCTACGGAAAATGTCAAACGTCAGAGGTGAGAAAATATTTCGATCTATAACTAAAGGCATCTTGAAATGTTTCTCGTGAATGAGAGACGGCATCCGAGAAAAGCAGCTTTAGGGACATGATAGGTTTTTATTCTTATAATACTGAGTTAATTATTAGTTCCGGTAGCGATGCAGAATAATACGTTTGTCTTACTTTGGAGAAAAAAAGCCCGCCATTACAATTATCTAGATAATTTAAGTGGAATGTATGAAAACCCCAAAGGATAAAGGACAGAACCAGGTATCCCCTCTTTACCAGAAAGTCCTGCAAAGCCGCAGCACGCTGTCCCTAAAATAGCTTAAGGAAAAATGCCACAGGACAACCAATAGCAGTGAGACTTTCTGCTTACGAGCTCCCTCCCTCCCTCCCTTCCCTCCCTCCCGCTCCCGTCCCTCCCTACTCCCTCTCTCTTCTCTCACTCTCGTCTCCTCCATTCCAGAAGAGAATTGAATGAATCAAATTCGGCTGAAATTATTTTTAACGAGATTATTCCTTTTAAAATTCTTCTAGGTAAACCTGTACTCTATCTCTGGATTAACGGATCTTGCCATCCTGAATATGGTGAAATTTTTGGAATCTCTCCGCACAACCTTCCGATGTTGCTGTTTGCAAAACCAATGCAGCGTTTGTTTAAGACTCTGAGTGGACGCTTTACAAAGGAAAAAATCAGTGATATTATATGGAATATATTTCTGGACCGTGAGGCGTTGTCGCCTTTTTCACGGTTTAACGAAATTCTCCCCGTTGACTGCCAGAAAGGGGCGCCTTCGAAGCGAATTAAGAGAGAGGAAAACCAGGATAAGAATATGAAAAGAAAGGAGAAGAAAAAGAGCGAAAAGTAAGTATAATTTAGAGTGTAGACATCAAAGTCGTGCTGGATTTCACTAATGACACTTCACCACGCATTCTGATTGGTCCAAAGAACTTGCACCATTTCTCGACCAAACATATTTAAAACTGGAACTTATCGCTTAACTTTAACTCTTAACTGTCCCTCCCCTTCCCCCCTCAGTAAGTACCACAGACACCAACCATCTCTTAAAACGGGTACTCATGGTCAGCGTTTACCACCGGGGAATTCGGGTGGGGCTGAAAACTCGGAAAAACAAGGGTGGGATTGTAAGAGGAAGAGGGAATGGTTGAAAAAAACGAAATTCATGTTTGTTTCGTTTACAGGAAAGCTTCAGGGAAGGCAAAGGATACAAAGGCGAGGAAGACCACGAGAGTAGACGAACTCTGACTGCTAGAATCTTGTTCTTTGTTCTGTTCTTGATGAAAACGATTTCGAAATTGGAAGATAGACTAAATACTTCGTTCTTGTCTCAAAATATTGTTCAATTTTTTCTTTTTCGTTACTTTGCAATTCCCAAGACCCGATATTGTAAGAGGCAACTTAAAATAAAAATTACTGACCATCACAACTTTCTCAAAGGACCAAACAAAATATAACACTTGTAAAAAAAAATTGATAATACTAAAGGTTTCTTCAAATTATAAATCTTAAAACTTTATTCAACTACCAGTTCATAGACATGTATATGTACAATAAATTATGACACGATCTAGTAAAATTCAAAATGAAGACGAACTCTGGCGGTGGAACAAAACATTTGTCCACTCCTTGTGTCAAAAGAGTAAAGAGTAGTAGAGTGTACAACTCACTAGTCACTCGCTAATTTTGAATTACGTCACAGTATTCAGTTAAATATACAGCTCCAAATAAAGATCAGCGTCCTTCCTTTGAGCTCAGCTTTTATAAAAATATCTGTAATTCCTCTGAATCAATTCCGTTTCTATCCATGTTTCCCTCCGCACAACATGCACCAAGCCTTCTAATCCCTTAAAATTGTTCTTCATTTATTCGTCATTTCCACTTCTAAAATAGAGTGTCCATCGTAGTACTGCGATCCTCGCACGGTCTAAAACCGCTTGGAAAGAATCCATAGCTGGTCGGACATCAAGAGCGACAAACTCTCCTCTCTTGTAAGCCTCTTCGTCACCTACATCGTAGTAATCGATAATATATCGGACTTCCCGGCCGCAGCGATCGACAACCCAGTCGTGACGATCAAATGGAAGCTCGTAACTGAGGAATAAAGGTTAAAATGTCAAATGTTAGCGAATGCATTTGTGTAAATTATATTTTCTGTTCATAAATATTATATATAATTCTTCTCTCTACGTGTAAAGGGGGAGTGTGGCAAACTATTGTTGTCCTTAACACCATGACTTTGTGTTGTTATTGACCCTTTAAATCCCAGAAGTGATTCACATGCAACTTCTCCCTATGCTATCCACACGTTATTCTGCAAACAGGTGATGAGAATATTCAAACTTATCAGGTTATAGTTGCTGTCTTGATCTAACACCAAATTCTCGTGACTAATTTACAAGGAAAAGTGTAGAAGCTTGAGGGAGTAATTATTAACAATCAGATCCTAGGAGTGACTGAGTTAAAGAGAAAAGGTTGAATTTTTTATTATGGAACCATAGAGTGACCTGGTTTTCTTCTTACATGAAGTTTCACCAAAATTAAAACAGGGGAGCACAAGAATGAAAATGGATCACTTTGTATACAGATGACCAATTCACCAAATTAAAAAGGTTCTATCCTATATATTAGAAATGAAATTCAAAATTGCCATTGACATAAGTAACTTCAAGTAAACATGACTTTAAAGAAAAAATGCAAAGCCAAAGATTTTATAAAACACACACAATTTTTTTGGCAAGGAAGGAATTATTATGTAATCAAGTTGTCTGATCATCCAGGTGACAATAATCCGGAGAAGGCCTGTTGTCAGTAATAGTGACTGACATTTGGACAACCTGAGGGGTAGTCATCATCAGAGTCAAGTGAGGAGTTGTTGTCAGTCAAATGTACTACATCCAGTTCATGAAAACTGATTTGTCAGTTTAGCTGTAATGTTATTGGCTGTAAGACTCAAGTGGCGTAAGTTCATCTTGATCACAACGGTTGTTGAAACCTCAGTCACTGCTACCAGCAACAGTCCTTCTCAGGATTATACCCACCTGGGAAATCAGACTACATGATTACACATTACCCCCTGATTCAAACCATTTACATGAAGGAACATGTATTTAATCCTACCCCAGCCAATTCCGCATTCTTGCTCTTGGAGAAAACTCTTTTGCCTTCCCTTTAAAACTAAGCAGCCTGGGTGTTCCACACTCACTGAAAAAAAAAGTATTCATTATCATAAAAGTAAAAAAAAATTACTAAATGGGGAGTAGCCAATATTTAAGTTTCCAGAGAAGTGATTAACCCTTTCTCCCCTTGGAGTGACTATTATCTAAATTCTCCTTACAATATCACCCCTGAATTTAAACATTAAGTCATGAGAATAAGGGAAATGATCCAAAACTCATGACGCTCTTGATTATTAAACAAATTCTCCTTGTCAGTACCATAGGAAATGGGAAGAGGAAAATAAGGAGAATATGCATACCAGTGCTAGTGTTTAAAGGTTTAACAGGCAACTTCCCCCTATTACATCAACTGAGTTGAAATCATGGTTATCTGAAAGATTGATCAAATTAACTGTCATGTCTGCATCACAGTAGCAACACAAATTTAATCATTTGTACCTCACATCAGTACAGATTTCTTGTATTCTTTCTCCATACTTCTTTGCCTTAGCTGGCAAACATTTCTTTTATTAAAGAGAGAGGTTTTTTTCATCTTGTTACAAAGTGGGGCAAAAAGGAAAAAGAAAAAACAAAGTCCCCATCAGGAATTGAACCTCAGACCTTTGGATTCTGCACCCCGATGCTTCATCACTGAAAATTGTATGGCAGACAGTAAGGAGAACTACTAGAAAGATCTTGGGAGTGAATTAGGATATTACTGCAATTCAGTAGTAATATCCTAATGAGAAATTAGAAGCTAGTTTCTCTTGGAGGTTAACCCTTTACATCTTAAGATCAATATGCATATTCTCTATACTGTTCTCTAAACATTTCCCACAATGCCAACATCAAAAATTTGAGTAACAATCAAGAGCTTCTTTAATGGGTGATCAGCTCCTTTAATCTCCTGACCTCAATTTTTGATTCAGGGGTGATATGGTAAGGAGAAATTTGATGCTGATCACTCTTAGGGGCTAATGGGTTAAGCATAATTATCATCCTACTTTGCATGAAGTGCTTCCCATTTCAGTATTTCCTGCCATGCACTCTCATTGTTAGCATTATGAATCCTGATAATGTTGGCCATATCATTTTCCTGTACTTCATCCTCCTGCCATTTCCAACCCTTGCGTAACATTGCATTCCAAAACATTTGCTGAGATGGGTACACCCAGTTCTCATCCTTGCCAGTGCCTCCTCTAGGGATGGAAGACACCTGGCGATTTATTGGCAGAGGAAAGGGCTGGCCTGGAGAGGGCTGTTGATTTGGTGGTGGCATCTACAAAGAGAGCAAATAACCCTTTACACTTTCATTCAGGAGTAATACTGTTGGGATAAATTAGATGCTCATCACTTACAGGGGTTAAAAGGTTGAGTAACTGCATGACATTTCCAAAGCATAGACAGGAGTGCACACATGGGATCCACCACTAGTGTTTTATTTCAGTGTAAATCAGGGTTTTAATTGAGAAATGTGGCCAAAGAATGTAAGTGTTGAGTATTTCAAGCGTAAAATATTTTCCATACCTTGCAAAATAACATGGCTGCCAGAAATAAAATTTTTGTTGACAGGAAAAAAAGTTAAAAATAGAATGAAAAAAAATGGAGACAAACATATTGTACTGAGTAGTACAAAGTATTATAACCAAATGCTCAAGCCACACTATAATTTGAGACCATAAACACTATGTAACAAAAATGAAAACAGGCTGCAACACGATCACCAAATATAGGTCACCAAATTCACGACTTTGGAATAAATTTGGGTACAATTTCAGTCACCAATATTTTTTTTCAACATGCCATGGCAACCAAATCAATAACCAAAGGGTACTAAAGAATATTTACCATGTTACTTGGATCCAACGCATCTGAACTGTTATCAAGAGCAGCACTATCACAGCCAGCTCCTCTGCTGATAGGACATTGGCTAGCTTGTAGTTTTACACTGCCACCTTGATGGGCAGGACACTCACTGACCGATGGCACAGGTGTACTGTGTTGAACTGGACAACCAGCAGAAGGGGTCTGGGCGACAATGGCAACACCGGCACCTGAGTCTGCTGCAACTGGTGCTGATGAGGTACTACCCATTTCTATAATAAAAAGAAACCACTGACCCTTTATAAGAGCAGCTAAAAATATTTACCAAAGAGTAAAACATTCTTATAGAAGGACACCTGCATACTGGAAAGTTGAAAGACTGAAATCATTAACCCTTTACATCCTAACATCAGTATGCAAACTCTCCATACTATGGTCTATACATTTCCTAAAGTGCTGACCAGCAGAATTTGTTTAGCAATCAAGAGCTTCTTTAGTTGGTGACCATTTCCTCTATTCTTGTAGCCTAAATGTATGATTTGGGGATGATATTATAAGAAGAAATTAGGATATAACATTAACTAGAGATCTTGTTCTTGTGTAAGTTTTAGTTGAATATAGGGGGAAAGTTTCCTAAGAAATTTTCATCAATGGAAGGGAGTGGTATTAAGTAAATAAACCCTTTTGGAAAACATGTATGTTAGCTGAAAATGTAAGCAGCTAAGAGATTGTCCAAGGAATATTTGGCCAGGAAGTAAAAATTTGAGGACAAATGTGAAACTTTGGGGATCAAATAACTTTGTGTACTTTCCAGAGCAGTATTTGAGATAATCTTTTTAACATCACTGGCACTGGACTCCACAAAACAAGCTCATTTTTCTTCCATGTAAAAGTAACAGATACGAAAAAGTGAAAATCTTGGGCTGGCTTTTTTCCTGCTGGTTTTGTAACTTTTCAACAGATATAAACTGGGGGACAAATATCAATGTAGATTGGGGTTATCACATGATAACTGTCCCTTGATTTTGGACTGCATGACATAAAGAGGCCAACAGAGTGGCGTGAAAATTAATAGTTGGGTTATAAAATAAGATAATTTGGTTTCATCAACTGAGTTGATAATGTACAATGGCCACTGCAATGAGTTTCTGAAGCTGATGTTTCAAGCATCATCAGAATGAATGACAAATGGGTAATGCTTGAAATTTCAGCTTTAGAAACTCTCTACTTTGGCCAATTCACAGTATCAACTCAGTTGACAAAACCAAAATATCTTGAAAGTTTCAGTCAGCTAACTAAGCAGAGGTGCTACAACAATTAACGAAAAAGCCTAATAGTTGATAGTAACTTACAGGAGAAATCACATCATTAGAACTTTTATAAAAAGAAATTAAGATTTCTATTAATACAGAAAAACCAAAACCTCCCTTTAACTTTCGTTGAACCATACATAGTAATCACTTTCGATCTGACGGAAAGTTTTTAAGAAATCACAATAAAATTCACTACTTTCCCGAGTATTTCTTATTGCAGTAATCTAGATTTAATTTTCATGCTTTGGCTTTGGGCCACAAATCAGAAATAGAGGCTTTATTAAATGTTCAAATTTCCAGACACAGTGCAAAACAGACAGATAAGAAACTGTCGTGATATCGATATCGACAACGTGCAAGTAAGTTATGTCATTGCCTTTGGCTTAGACGGAGATCGCTTATCGCTGTAACAATAGTTTCTGTAACATAACTGAAGACAGATGACAATTTTTTACCTGTTTACAAGCGAAACACAGCCTAAACTGTTAGAGGCTCCAGTGGAAAGTTCTTGGTAATTAATCACGCTTGGTAATTATTGCGCACGGTCTTGTTCCCCAAACTTCTACCCAGTCTTTTCTGGTTGGTTGGAGGCGTAAGGAAAAAGAGGGGGAGTGGAGAGGGGGAATGTATGGTGGCCCGGGTGGCCCAGTCTCGGCGGCCCACGTGTCACATCGAAAACAAATTGCTTTCATCAAATACAAATTGCTCGCATAAAAACAATTTGTTCAACTGTCCAAAATTCAAAATCGGACTCTAGTCTCTAAAATTCAAAATAGGAATTTAGTGTCCAAATCCAGAATTGGACACTAGTGTTCAAAATCTGACACCAGCGTCCAAAATAAACAATCGGACCCTTGTGTCCAAAATCCGAAAAAGGACACTAGCGTCCGATTTCAAGTCAGGACGGGAGAGCCCGGCTCTCCCGCCCTAACTTGAAATCGACTTACAGCCCTTGGGTCTCCGAGGATGTATACCCCAGTCACATAACAATGCTCAAAATGGTCCCAACTAAATCAAATTGCTCCTAGAACCTCAACATCAGTCACTTCCACTGAGGAGACTCCCTTATTCCGGTAAATTTAACATCCAAGGGTCACCAACTTTGTTCTCGTCTGAAGTATCCTTTAACAATATTTGTGGAAAAGTGGTGGCCTGGCAGTTGGTACCCAGGACTCCGGAACGAGTGGTCTGGATTCGGGTCCTGGACAAGTGTTATGTTCTTGGGAAAAACACTTCACTCCTAGTGTCTCTCTCCACCCAGGAATTTAAACGAGTACCGGCGAGCTATCAGAGAAGCCTGGCGAATATCCAAGGGATTGGAAAAGAAAGGAGAAGGAAAGTGTCTAAAGAGAAAAGCCAAACCTCTTGTCACTACATGCCACAGAAACAGGGAGAAGCTCCGACTGGGTGGCCAGCGGCTTCACCCTTTACACCCTAACACCAGTATGCACATTCTCCTTACTGTTCTCTATATATTTCCTCAGGTGCTAACAAGGAGAATTTATATGATCAAGAGCTTCTTCAGTCTGTGAGCACTTCCTTAATTCTTGTGATCTTAATGTTTAAATATGGGGAGATATTTTAGGGAGAAATTATACGCCAATCACTCCCAGGGGTAAAAGGGTTAATTAAATTCAAGAAAAAAAAAACACTTTTTCAAGTTATAAATTCACCTTGTAATATAGATTAAAAAGCCTGATTCATGCTTTTTTCATGATACGTTGAATTTAATGTTTAAACACCAAAAAAATAGACATTCGTTTTACATTTTTGGTGTCTAAACATTTAATTCAACGAAAAAGGTGCTTTTGTGATACTGTACACTTTTTTTAACGATACATCTGACAGGAAAGACGTTTGGCAAAATCTAACCAGGAAAACAATTTAAAAAAGTTTTTCTATATGTAATTACTTTCTGAGGTCTTCATATTCTGAGTTTCTTTTCACGGATAGCTTTGTAATGTCACCTAAGCTTATCTTGGCAACCTATAAGTTAAACACTCAAGTAAACTTAAGCTCGTCGTCTTAAGGACAAAAATTTGACACACTGCCTGCTTTGTAAAGTGGTTTTGGATTCTTTTCTGTCTTTATCGACGGGAAAAGTCATTGTTTGAAATTTTACGAGACGTGACCTTACGGAACGGAGTCAAAAGTCCCTTAATGACATCAAAAGTTCGGCAAAAACATCTTGACGATCATAGACTTCATCTCAGGTCTTTCCATCCTTAACATGTGTCAGTTTCGTCGGCTTGGACGTTCAGATGCTCTACGGATTATTTTCCTGTGTATTCCACCAATCACGAACTTCTCCCGCGAACTCCTTCACTTCAGTCAAACTTTTCCTTCGCGACTTAGAATTAGCTAGAGATTCGGGTAAACTCTTTCTTCGTTTTGGTGACATCGAGACTTCTTCTGGAAACGTAACAGAATTCTTACGAGGTGTAGAAATGCTGCGCTCTGTTTTCATAACCGGAGGTGGGGCCGAAAGGAGAATCGCCGGTCCTTTTGAAGGGGATGACAGTGAAATATCGTCATCTTCACTGCTTTCGTGATCACGAATCTCGCGTTCTGTGTCACGGTCTTCTCGATCTTGGTCTTCATTTGCTGAGTGTTCCAAGCTCTCTACGCTTGAAGCTCCAGGGCTTTTATCAAACTGGAAACCGCCAGCCAATGGGATTCCTCCTTGCTCCAAATGTCGAATCCATTCCCGCTCGACGCGCTTCTTACGAAGGTTGACGAACCAGTCACGAATTGTTTGTATGGCAACTTCTTCCTCGATTTGGTATTCTAATTCTTCTCGCTCGAGCAGCTCCTCGAGTTGCAAGCTGCGGCTGATGTCAACAGATCGATAGGCTAGCACTCCTAAGACATCATGGAATGAAACATCACAGCCATTGCGAAGCTTTTCAATCTCACAGCACATGTGCTTGAACAAGAGCGACCCTGTGTCCACCTCTAAACGGCCTTTGAGTAAGCGAAGAACAAGCTTAGCTTGTCGGACCGATAAAACGCCTTTACGACTCTTATCCACCAAGTTCCAAGTCAACTGGAAGTCCTTCAGATCTGTGTTGCTTATAAGAGAATCTTCGTCGCTGGAGTAGAAAAGCGAAAAATTCTCAATGATGACAGCGATGAAAAGGTTCAGGAAGACAAATGTTACGAAAATGTAGAACGAAATGAAGTAAATATGCGCTGCTGCACTGTTGCCGCAGTCGGTTTGCCAGAAATTCGGCGTATCAGGCGTTTCTGTGCAGTACGGTTTCGATATCATACAGTCATGCATGATCTTATTCCAGTCCTCTCCGGTGGTGATTCGAAACAACAGTATCATAGCATAGAAACTTGTCTTGAAGTTGGCATGGCGATTTAACGCCTCTCCGTATTTGACTGTGCCGAATAAGATCACACCAGCGAGCGAGTAGCTTACCATAATGATGATAAGAACAGAGATGATGAAGAAACTCTTTACTAGCGACATGACAACGGTCAACATTAACATCTTGAGCGTGTCGTGTTTACCAGCAAGCGTCAAGAAACGGAACAGGATTATCACCATTCCAAACACGGTGGTGACTGTGTACGGCATACCACTCCCTTTAAGAGAAAAATTCAGAGTTACCCACAACACTCCAAGGCTCGTCAAAAACAGGTCAAACCGGTTTCTCCGGCTTTGCCAGTATCCTTGAAATGTGAAGGCGATAATCTTGAGAACCATGTCTACAACGAAGAATATCGAACACGCCGCTGCAGTGCTGGTCAAGCCGTCTCGCAGGCGCAGGTTGTCTTCAGTGGTCCACTGAGCAATCGTAACAGTCAAGCAGATAACAACCACCAAAATGACTTCGATACCTTTGTATATTTTTGACTGTGTGGCGTCGAATAATACGGCACGAATCCCCTCTTTTCTCGGTCTTGGCGCAATATGAAGAGGTTGTGCGAGTCGCAAGCGCTTCTTCAAGTCTTGCCAGCGACGTTGATCAACAGTGAGAAGCGCGATGCCTTTGTTCTCGTTAAAATTCATAACAATTACTCCAACAAACAAAGTTAGTCCGATCATACTTCCAATGAGTACGTAAATGTGGACATACAGACTATACTCAGGAGACACCACTGCTTGGATCACATCTCGCACTTCCAGCCAACCTTCTAAGGAAAGAACTTCAAACAAAGCCAGAAATGCGTGGATGACGTTATCAAAGTCAAAATTTCTGGGTTTTTTCCATACACGAGGAACAAGGATTGTAGACGTCCCTGAAAGGTCGCGTAGTTCACGAGGTGGGGCGATCTCTATTTCGAAGGTTCCAATGCACTCCTCTCGGGTATTTTTCGTGCGATCGTTGCAGCTTCCAAATCTGAAAGCGAATACTTGAACACCATAGCTGGCAAAGATGAACATGAGCAGCAACTGTAGTGCGCTAACTTTAAGTATTTCTTTATAGCCACCCACCAGCTCGAGAATCACCTTTTGCATCTTAGGCACCAATGTGACAATGCGCAATGGACGAAGGCACCTTAAAACCATCAACACTTGAGCCCCTGAGCGGGCAGGTATCGGATGTGGTTGCCAGGAAACATAGACAAGTGCCACGAGGTACGTAGTGACGTCAAGGACACCCCCAAAGTTCTGAATAACGGCATTAGGCGTGAAGATCAAACCGTTCGCAAGGATTCGAACACCCAGTTCCAAACTCATGGCAACCACGAAAATGTATTCGACGACTTCTGTTGAAGAATTCATAAAGGTTCGCTGGGTTGGAGTCTCGAGCATCATAGCAATGCAAGAGATAAGCGTAACAATGATCATTATCCACTCCAGGTACGTCTGTGACGCGAGACACTTTTGAAGCCGTGCCATCGTGACAATGTTATTGCGTGACGCCCGCTCCGTATAACCAGGAGGAATTGAGTAACGCGCGTTCACTAAGCTCTGAAGAAATATCCGAAACCATGAGTCACGCTGCAGGGAGAAGAGAGGCTGGTCAAAGTAGGGATGATTCTCGCGAAGCTTGTCAATTTGAGCTTTCTTTTTCCGCTGAACCTCTTCACGTCTGACCCGAACCCACTGGATGTCGAAATCTCGCCCGATGTTGGTGTCATCGTGATTCAACTGGGCGTGGAGACCTGTAGCTTGGCTGGCCATTCTCATGACCTGAGGATTACCTTGAGCTGGTTTCGGAGACGGAGGCGGGCGGCTCCGGAATCGCCTCGACGCAGATCGGAAGACTGACGTCGGCTGCTGTTTGTTGTTGTTGCTGCCTTGAATTGCAGCGCTCCTCGGGGAAACTTCGGTAGGTGAAAGTAGCGCATACGTTCTTCGGCGATTGGAATCGTTGATCAACGCAGTAATACTCGACTGCTTGCGGACAAACTTCGAAAGCTTATCCACCTCAGATACCGTCGAGTTTAAAAGCTTTATAGGAATTGCAGTCCGCCGCCTTCTTAGCTGCGAAGTCTCCCCGAGCTGCTTTCGTGGATCAACAGCTAGTGCTGT